CGATTTTCGGAAAATTTTGAGCCAGGAGTTGGTATAGGTGATACGAGGGTGCTGGTTATGAATGGATCGGCTTCAGCCAGATATGTAAGCAAGTTTGAGATATGGATGCTCTAGTTATTCGATAAATCATTCGAATATTTATTCGAAATTCGGCTCCCAATGTTCGGATATAATTGGTATTCATTCATTCGATATTTTTGATGAATTTCTTATTCGAAATTCATTCATTCGAGAATTTTTGAACCTCGAATTTATTCGATATTTGTTTATGCGAGGTTTTTTATTTTCGAATTTATTCGATATTCGTTTATTCGAAATTTTTCCTTTTCGAATCTATTCGATATTCATTCATTCGATGAAAAATTTTCGAATTACCCAAGTATAGTACACAGTACACATCATTACTGAAACCACGGTTTTTCTCTTTGAAATAGGAGCAAAGAAAAGTTGCGACGTCGCACGCGTCGTTCGCGTTGCCGCACTTCATTGCAACTGTTGTTCGATTTGTCCTCATATCTTTTGAACAAATACAGTTGGCACAGCTCTACAGAGTCACTTGAAAAGGAGGAGCTTAGACCTTTGATTTGATAACCTTGGACAAAAAGAAAACCTCCTGCAAACACTGAAAAGATCCTTGATAAGAGCGTGCTGCCTTATGTGCAGCACCGGTCCGAAACGTGTTTTAAATGGAAAAAACTTTCGAAGCGACCTGATATTTCAGCGCGTTTCCAGCCCAGCCGCGTACCTTCATCCTACGAGCGGCGTGAGGCGTGGTTGCTCGCAAGGTGAAGACACGCGCGTAATTGACAGCATCGTCTGAGTGATTCTTGTTAGATCTTTATATGCCAATCGGCTTATTCAGATATAGGGCTTGCTCATGTTTTATCGTAGGCTCAAACTCTCGGCCTTCCTCGGCAAACTAGCTCTATTATTTTCGTCGTGGAATTTGCTGCTGGATACCGCGATATATTGGGTTTGCAGAAATAATGAGCGTTTTCCCATTTTTCACTTTAACTTGCTATAACTTTTCATGAAATCTACATTTTGAAATGTGATAAGGACCATCAGATGCAGCGAACCTTTCCCAGTACAGCGCACATTGAGCTATACTCATATCTCATATGGGCAGATATGGATTGAAAAACAAAAAAGTTTTTTTCTGAAGTCTTGTTTTTGACACAACATAACTCCTTTCATACTTTGTTATTATAATTTCTAAGCAGCCTATCTTGTAGCCGCAAGCCAGTAGTACAAATATACATGGAAAGGGCTTGGAGAAAAAATATTAGCGAAGAGGGAAAAATCGAAATTTAAAAACATCAATTTTTTCAGCATTTTTTCAATAGGCCTCAAAACCCCGAAGTATAGAATTTTTTAATTTTCTGCGTACTGAACAGCTGGATGTTTTTGCAAAAACTGCTAATAGAATACCTACCCTCAGGCTTACAGATATGAGCAAAGTTTGAGCGACTGCATTCTACAAGCGAAAGTTATGGGCACTAATGATCACAACCATTACCCATGTTAAGCCGCCGATATCTCACTTTAGATAACTTCGAGAAATACAATACCGCTCATAATTCGTCAAAAAAGTCGCCGGACTGCGGCGGACTCCCCGGAGTGCGGCAGTGCACCACACTCCACTAGAGACCGTCGGAATGATCGTCACATCGCCATATCTCGCTTCAAAATGGACGAATTCTGAATCCGAGGACACCGTTCGATTCAGCTGGGCGAGACGCATCATCTTACATATGAAGCTGAACGTCTGTTTGTCTGTTTGTCTGTACGTATGTTTCGAATAGAAAATTCCATTTCTGAACCGATCCGGACCAACCTTGGCACACATACACTTCGGGCCCCGGCGGGTGTCATAGGCTACTTTTCGACTCAGGCTCCAGTCTGTGAAATTCGCCGAGTTACGAGCCTACGAAAACACATCCTCATGAAATTTGCAGAAAATGTGAAGATTGCATATTTCGTCAAAATTCCTCCTTGAGCGCATGAAATTCGCAACAAATTCGATCAGAGTGACTCTCTACCATACTCCTATAGTATACTGTCTATGTGTCATCAGCGACAGATCAAGGTCATGCTGTTATCAGCACACTGAATTTAACCAAAAATAATCGATAATTCTGAAAACTAATATTGTATTCGGAATCCCCAAGCTCACTCACCCTCCCCCTGTGCCAAGTCCCAGCCCCGTAGGTGAACTCTGCAAAAAATTAATAAAAATCGATAAAAGTAATCGATAATTCTGCAAACTAATATTGTATCCGGAATTCCCATGCTCACTTACCTCCCTGTGCCAACTCCCGGCCCCGTAGGGAAATCTGCAAAAAAATCGATAAAAATCGATAAAATCGATATCGATCGATGACGAAAAGTAGCCTATAACACCCGCCGGGGCCCGAAGTGTATGTGTGCCAAGTTTGGCCCGGATCGGTTCAGAAATGGAAATTTCTATTCGAAACATACGTACAGACAAACAGACGTTCAGCTTCATATGTAAGATGATGCGTCTCGCCGAGCTGAATCCGGTGTCCTCGGCTTCAGAATTCGTCCATTTAAAGCCAGATATGGCGATGTGGCGATCATTCCGACGGTCTCTAGTGGAGTGTGGCGCACTCTGCCGCACTCCGACGGACTCTAGTGGAGTGTGGCGCACTCTGCCGCACTCCGGCGGACTCTTGTGGAGTGTGGCGCACTCTGCCGCACTCCGGCGGAGTCCGTCGCAGTCCGGCGACTTTTTTGACGAATTATGAGCGGTATTGTATGTTCAAATATGCATAATGTAGACAATTTCCAATACATGTAGAAGCTATATTTTCGATAAACCATCTTCATTTGCGCTCAAATTCTGGCCAGGAGAATGAATGCAGCGAAAATCTGGTTTTGAGTGCGATTATTTGAAGTTCTGTAAATTCTTAACAGAGTGGGCTAGAAGTCCCTTTCAAATATCATTAGATAGAGCATGAAAAGAGCTCTAACTTCGTGCTAAAACCTTTACAAAAAATGAAGTTTGATGTAGAAAAGTTGTCCTGAAAAAAGTCCTTAGAAAACGCTCATTATTTTTGCACCAACCTAATATTGGGTGGGTCCTAAAGTTAGTGATGTTTTTTACACCTATGCTCAAATCATTCAGAATAAAAATAGACAAACATTCTGAGAAGTGTTGTATGCAGAATTTCTTCTTCTTTCCAGCAATGATGTTTTTGTTCGGATTCCTTCAATATTCCCGAAGAACTTCTACAATCTCCAAGCCATGCATTTTATGTACCCTAAATTTTGCTATTTTTTCCTAATATCGTTCTGGACTTTTGAGAATGCTTTGATAACAGATAGATAGAGTAAACAAAATGCAATGTAATACGTTTTAGCATCAATAGCTGTCTTTCCAGATTTTTGAAAACTATCAATTCAGTGCTACCAAATTTGATATTTGTTTACCCCAAACCTCGTAGAACATCAGACGGTAACCATCTAGAGTGTCATTCAATGCAGCTTCTTCTCCTCTTTTTGGCAGATGTTTCTTATTTCTGAATTGTGAAGGCCTCGGAAGAATTATTGCCATAAAGTTTTTTGATGCGTTCCAGGGTGCATCCGAAAATTGCAAGAATCAGTATTTCGAGGCGGTAGAAACACGTTCGTTGTTCAAAAATAGTGTTTGATCGCGATCAATGTTTGGAAGTTCCATTTTACGAAAATTTCATAGTATTTGAAGCGTTTGTATATTTTACGACTTCTCAAATGTGAGCACTTTAGAAAACTTGTTTTTGAAAGTACGATGAAGCCAGCTATCGACGCAAGAAATTGAGTTTTGTAGCATTTTGTTCACTCTATCCAACTGTTATCGAAGCTTTTAAAAGTCCAAAACCAAAATTCCGATGATTAGTAAAGCTAGAATGCGTAATATGCATGGATAGGAAATTGTGGCGGTCATTCGGAAGAACATTGGTAGGAATCCAAACGAAAACGTCACTGCTAGAAAGAAGAGGAAATTCTGCACAGAACACAATGCCACGAGTGTTTGTCCATCATTATTCTAAAAAATTTAAGGATAGCTCTAAAAATGGCACGAAGCTTTCGGACCCACCCATTATTATGTCATGAAGATGGTTGCGCAAAAAGATTAAACGCTGAATCCTCCATATATAAATAGTTGTTTTCTTAGAACAATCTATTGCGCGGTACGATGGAACAACTTGTTGAGTAAGGCGCACGAAACAATGGTATTCAAAGTCACATACCTTGAAATTTTGGTACAAACCCTAGGATTTAGTTTGCCGGTCCAGCAAATCCGATCAAATCAGACCTTAACAAACAAGCCATCTAAGAACTTAGATTCTACACCTTTTGCGAAGATACTTCACGGTGCACCTGTACTTTGTGACCTGGATGTTTTGAATTTGCGCACCAGCAAAAATCTTCCCAGAAGTTCTTCGAGACATACATACAGTTCGCCATGTTCTCATTGGGAACATCAAAGTTGAGCTGCCCAGACTTGTTTTGATATTCTATGAGAAAGTGAAGAGTACGAAAATTCTATCGCTGATGATCGAAGTCGCGTAACCGGCATTAAGACTGCAACATGCTGAGACATGCTTACGCATATTCTTCCGAGCAGACTTTCGGCAGCTTTTGCATTTCAAAAATTGAAAATAGCTAAGTGATGTCCGAACCCCCGAAAAATGCATCTCCAGCGTATTTTTGGCGATAAATCGTCTAAGTAGTACTAAATTAACATATCAATTGTCGGATTAGTACCAAGAGGTGGCTGGAGTGTCTGCTCATCCATCCAGTTCGAGGATATATACTTTTCGCTCACTTGCCTGCCGTGTTCTTGCCAATCTTTTCAGATCCTTTTACTCATATGCTCGGTTTCGCGATACCCAGTAGCATAAATCTCAGCGATGGAGAAAAGGGAGGGTGATTAAAGGAAAAGAGGGGAATTTTGAGAATGTGACTGATTTTCCCATCAACAACGTCATTTGCAGGAGCATTAGTCACTTACAAATGCGCGTGTTCACACTCAAAGAATGCCTGTGGTTTTGCGTGACATCCTTGACTCCGCAAGGTAAGTGATCATACAGTTTGTTACTCCTTTAGATTGTTGTCGCTAACTTGATAGATGAGTACACCGAAAGCATGAAAGCACAAAAGAAGCAATTACACAAAGCAAGAATGAGGGTAACAAACGAAGTTGATTTTGGGAAGATCTTCGAAGTCTTAGTAAATTTAGCATAATTCCTGGCACGTTGAAAAAAGTGCAAGAGGAGTGAAAAATGCTCCAAACGAGATAGCATGTAGTGTGGGAGAAGGCGGAAGGGGTGCTAAAATCTTATGGTGTCGTGATAGCAGGTCCCCCAATAAGCTAGTTAAAACGCAGAGGGAGCGCATCACAACTCAAATTCGCTTCAGAGTTTCTAGACCCCGCCTCCTTTCTAGGTCTCGTACCCATCAATCACCCATACTGGGTGCACATGTCGATCACAGTTACAATTATGGTCTTGTCGAGAAAAAGACCTGTTGACGGCTTTGTATCACCTCCCCCCCCCCCATGTCCAAAGTCAAAATCAAAGGTTGGGAAAATTAATTTTCAACAATTTTGCGCACTCCAAACTGCACTTTTATTATCAGCAAAAAGGAGTGATTAAGGAAAAAGTTGTAGATCGAGACTGTTTCCGAAGTCAGCGTCCATGCAAATGACGATCACTAGAGACTTAGGTAGCAATAGCGCTGTTCCCGACAACGTCTTGCCCAAGTAGCATCATTTCAATTCCAAAGCGAGCGAACTGCTTTAGAAGTTCTACAGGGCCTCCCTTTGTGGGCGAGCCTTACACCACCCATCCATCAACTTTGAACTGCTGGCTAGAGTGATACTGTTATCGCACATGGTAACAATCATGTTCTCATAGCCGATCACAACCTGTCGATGTACTGTACGGTAGGCAGTAAATTTTCGCTCAATTTTGCATATTTTTGTTTGGTTAGATTATTCAGCGTGCTGATAACAAAATCGCCATTGATTTGCTGCTGATGGGTCTTCGCACTATTGGAGTATAGTAAAGAGTCGCTTTAAACTTTGATCGATTTGTTCTAAGTCCAGCTCAAGGTATTTCTGATGCGCTTATTGCGGTAATTACATTCATCTGATGCTCAGGGCATAGTGCGCAGGGATATTTGTGATGTGAAGTCATTTTTTGCGAAACGTTGCTCAAGGTTGCTCTCGTGTGTTGCTCGTTCTAACTAAAAAGATTGCATGCCTGGGCCATCTGAAACGAAATGGTGTCAACAAATGCGCCTTGGTGAGCTGATTCCTAAGCTATTTTCCTTATTTGCTAAACGGCTCTCTGGCAGAAGTTATAGGTGTCTCCAAGCTCCGCAAACAATCAGTGTCATACCAATAATTAGCGGTACAAGGACCCTTCAATATGTATCTAATAAATTTTGTAGTGAGTACACACAACATCATGCCCATTACGGTCTTTCGGATTGATTTTTAAATAACATGCAGACGCAGCTTAATGATTTTATACTTCCGACCGCTTATAACTTCTCTCAGAAACTCGTTCAGCAGCTAGGAAAGGTAGATGTCCTTATCAAGAACGCTTTGGATATGTATATACCAAGATCGAAAGCTGTGATCCTAAGGTCATTTCCTGTTCCATAGTAGCTGATATTCAATATGACGTCATGCTGTTGAGTACAATTGACGTTATTACTTAGCGCTTACGTGGTTTAGGTGTGTATAGTAAACATAACATTTTCGTGAGCACGTGTTTTCATTATAGAATATCGCAGTGCACATCTTATATATAAAGCTGAATGTCTGTTTGCATGTCTGTCTGTCTGTGTCTGTCTGTCTGTATGTCTGTCTGTGTGTACGTATGTTCCGAATAGAAAATTCCATTTCTGAACCGATCGGGACCAAACTTGGCACACATATACTTCGGGTCCCGGCGGGTGTCATAGGCTACTTTTCGTATCGATCGATATCGATTTTATCGATTTTTTGCAAAATTTGAGCTACGGGGCTGGGAGTTGGCACAGGGGGGTAAGTGAGCATGGGGATTCCGAATACAATATTAGTTTTCAAAATCGTGCATTACTTTTATCGATTTTATCGATTTTTTTGCAAAGTTTGAGCTACGGGGCTGGGATTTGGCACAGGGGGGTAATCGAGCATGCTGATCACCCCCGTGGGGGTGATCAGCATGCTCGATTGCTCCAAAAGTAATGCACGGTTTCGAAAACTAATATTGTATTCGTAATCGGCATTCTCGATTACACCCCTCTGCCAACTCCCAGCCCCGTAGCTCAAATTTTGCAAAAAATCGATAAAATCGACATCGATCGATAACGAAAAGTGGACTGTGACGCCCGCCGGGGCCCGAAGGGTATGTGTGCCAAATTTGGTCCGGATCGGTTAAGAAATGGAATTTTCTATTCGGAACATACGGCGGAGCCGGGTAAGCCAGCTAGTTGCACATAAAAAGCTTTAATTGTACCGGTGGTTGTCTAGTGGTATTAACGGTTCGAACCGGATCGATCAAGAAGGACACGGTTAGAATAAAGATATTTATTTCTATGACAACAATGAACAAGAATAACTTGAACAACTTGAACACTTAACAACAACTATGGGTCCTTCTGACCCGATTTGGCCCGCTCAGCAGGGTTCTCTAGCTTCTTTCCATCTAAGGGGGGAAGGTCCACCTCTCTTCGATGGCTCGTTTAAACTCCCTGGAGCGCTCTCTTCACGCTCTGCCTGCTCCCCCCTATCCACCGGTATTTATAGCCTGCTGAAGGGGTCAGCGCGGGCTTTTCTTCCCGCCACTGGAAATCGGTAAGTCGGTGATCCGCACCATCCAACATCCCTCCGGGAGCCGACGTCCTCGACGGCTGCTGCAACTTGCTGAGCTCTGCGCCGAGAACTCTCCTGCGGATGACGTTGTACAGGTGTCGCGCATATCCGTCCCTGAAATGCGTGTCGTATACCTGAAAAGAATTTTGGGGTCCATCTACTCCCATGGTCAGTTTCCTATTTTCTGTCCTTGAGGGAGCCAACGTAAACAGCTAATTTGTGTTTCCCCATTTTTCCAGTATTGATTCAATCACCGACCACACTTTTGACTTCGTTTTCCACAAACCACTCTTCTTAAACGGTAGTGGCTGCCACACGGATACAATCTTCCCTCCTTCTTCGAGGTACTTTTTGCATATCCGCAATGTGTCTATGATAGCTTCATCCTCCCTTCTTGGGTTCATGGGCCACACTATGATCCACATACGACATGTCTTCAAGTACTTCAGTGCTTCCTCGAGTTGACTGAATAATACTGCCACCTGTCAGTACTCCAAACTGCTTCAGCTCAACTTCCTTAGGTGATCCTGCACATCTCGGCGCAATAAACGCAACAAGACGTTCCTTCTCAGAACTTTGTCCTTCCTCACTACGTGTCCTTTCAACTCTGACTCCTTTCTGTGCCTCTCCGCACATTTTTCGATCACTTCTGCAAGGGTTGTGCTTCTTGCTGCTCTTCCTACATGTCGGCTTTTTCCACTTGCGCTCACAAGCTTCCTCTAGCCAAATTCCTTTGTCTGCTTTGACATCACTTTTTCTCTCAATAAAAGTTTTCTTGTTGACAGTCACAGATCTGTCCTTGCTGTCCTTCTCTGAAATAGATCTCTTCGCAGTTATGGTGCCTTGTTGGAACTTCGCTCTTACTGAGGCGGCGTTTCTCTTGTGTGGAGGCACCATCCTATCCTCTGCTTTTACTTTGACTTCAAGCTTCTTGTGTATCACTACTTCCACTCCTAGATCCTTCAATGCATTTGTGCCGATGGATACTTCCTTGTCTTCATCGTCCGAAACATGGAAGGCCACTTCCTTTCTGCATCCTCCTTCTAGATCTACTTCTACTTTTACACCTCCGAGAAAGCTCGTCACATGGTTTGATGCATCGTATATGCTTCCTTCCGCAATGTCAAAAGTCTGAAGTGACTCGACATCGTATCCATTGTTCCTCGCTTCTATGAGCACCCTCACGGGAAGAATACTAATCATTGAACCCGTGTCAATGTGTGCTGACACCTGTCTTCCCAACATCCTGGCTCGAGTCAACGTTCTTCTACCAACAATTCCGTTTGCCTCAGCTTGAGAGGTTTTTGCGACCATGTTACGGCGCCTGCTTATCATGGATGTTACCCCAGTCGAAGCCTTGGTAGCGCTTTCATTCTTCGTCTTCCTGTTCTTGCAATCTCTTATCACATGTCCGAAGTGACCACATTTGAAGCATCTTCTTTCTTCCTGATCCTCATCATAGGCTCTCGAGCTACTTATTTGCTCCTGCCTTCTCAAACCATCTTCCCTACTTCTCTCCTCTGAGCTGCTTCGTCTCTGCGTCATAGTTGGCACATACCCTTCATATCTACTTGCTTTCTTCCAGAACGAGGCTTGCTGTTCACTCCTCCTCTCAAACTTGCATAGCCCTGGCGATTGTTCAATCTCAATCGCCACTTCTTTTACCCTGTTATATGCATCAGCTGGTTCCACTTGGTGTAGGATTCCAACCAGCTGTACATACTCTGGCCATGTTGTTAGGTTCTCTAGCAGAATCTGTGCATATTCCATCGACCTATCTCCAATGCTGCACTGGGGATTAGCCTTCCTTGCTATGTTCTCGAGGGCTACACAGAAGTCCGCGACTTCCTGGTCTGGCCTCAAGCGCATGTTTCTTAAGGCCGTCAGGGCCTTCAACCTAGCCGCTGAATCACAGGCCAGTAGTGAGGACATTTCCCTCACTACTCTGTCAAACCCTTGGCGTTTTACCGCCGCGGGTATGCTCAGGAACAGGGACCTTGCCCTCCCTTCAAGGTGTTCGTCCTCCAGGAGATCTACTAGCTTTTTCATCCCCCTCTATGGACCCGTACTTCCTAGTGAACCTTCTAATAAATCTATCGAAGTTTTCATTTTCATGCCCCTATAACCCCCCGGATCGGCGAAAGCCATACTTGGAAAGTAGTTGACTAGTTGATCCATACCTTGACTGGGCTGGGAGGCATTGCTGCTGCGTGGCCCCAAATGCTTCCAGTGCTGCCTGCCCGGACATCTGTCCAATCTCGCACTTTGGTCCGCTCCACGGCCTCCTCATACTCCACGTCTAAACAGAGTATTCGTTATTGCCGCTTCTTAGATTAGAGGATACCGGCTCCTTGCAGCATTTCCATAGCCTCTTGAATGCCGTCTCGTTCTTCCGACGACCTCTCTTGAGCCGAGATCGTTCATTTGTTGTATCTAAGAGTGCTTCTACTCCTTTGTCAAAACCCTCTTTGATTTGTGCTGCTAAACTCCAGAGACAGTTTAGCACTGCATTCACCCTTATGTTTATTTCCTCCTCCACGGGTGCCCTGTACTTTAGTGCGGCCCTACTCTCATCTAGATGCTTGCTTACTACCCCCGGTAGCAGCCCTAACTCCCTCCTAATGAACCCTAACTTCTACTCTATGTCTACTTTGACTGTGTTTCTTACCTGATTTTCTTAGCCTGGCCATCCATCGGCTCCATTTTCTACCACTACTAATATATACTGATGTTTACTATCTGAAGACACACTAGTTATTTGCTTGCAATCACACTATACACGCGAGCGAAATGGGTCAATAACGAAAGAACGCGACGATAATCAATCAAACGAGCTCTATGATAAGTGCTCTACGTGAGGAGATGAAGATATTCTATCTTATTGTTCTCTTTTCCTCGCCCTCTTAGGCTGTTGTGTGTGTTCTTTGCCGCCTTACTTCGCGGATGATCAATATCAATGCTCCAACCGTGTATGATTTGTCAATCGATCAGATCCGGCTGGCTCGGCCCCCATGTAACGGGGGTTGTCTAGTGGTATTAGCGGTTTGAACCGGATCGATTAAGAAGGACACGGTTAGAATAAAGATATTTATCTCTATGACAACAATGAACAAGAATAACTTGAACAACTTGAACACTTAACAACAACTATGGGTCCTTCTGTTGGCCCGCTCAGCAAGGTTCTCTGGCTTCTTTCTATCTAAGGGGGTGGTCCACCTCTCTTCGATGGCTCGTTTAAACTCCCTGGAGCGCTCTCTTCACGCTCTGCCTGCTTCCCCCTATCCACCGGTATTTATAGCCTGCTGAAGGGATCAACGCGGGCTTTTATTCCCGCCACTGGAGATCGGTAGGTCGGTGATTCGCGCCATCCAACATAATAACTGTTTTTCAGCATAGCAGTGTTCACGTAACATTCTTGTTACGTACTTTAAAGACTTTTCTTCTGAGCCGAGAAAAAGGGTGATGACATTCGGAAATATGCAAGGTCTAGGAAACAACAATTTACCGTGAGTCTAAGTAGCAAAGTGACTTTTGCATCAGTGTTGTAACCTGCATGCCATATTGCCCAACTGAGCTGATTTCGAGTTGAACTAAGTTCTTCACTTCCGTTCTGCGGACGGGTTTATGTTAAGTTCCCAACTCAATGGTTTCCTCTAGATGGGGGCCTCCCTAATTTCTAGTAACAGACGAAAAGCGCAGAAAGTCCTTTGCTGTAAGGAGTAAATGGCTAGCAGACTTCGAAGAAATCCATGTTCACCTAAAAAAACCTATCGTAGCCCTACAGTAAGAAACTATCTTGAAAATCAGATATGACTCTCATGATCAGCAGGTCGGATAACCCCTATGGGCAGACTTTCTGAGAATATTAGGACATTTGATTTTTTCTCGTTCCTCGCTCTTGAGCTCGCCGCAGATTTCGGATGAAATATTAATGATCTTGATTTAACCTAACTTGGCTCACAAAGCTTTTAGGACCCACTGTTTATGAAACCTTGGTTATTCTGCACGAAATGGTTTTACTGTAAAGTTACAGTTAGCAGGATCTAGCTAAGTTAAAACTCGCAAGTTTGCCTGCATTTTTCGCCCATCTACTGACGAACCTGCCTGCGCATTCTCGTAGGTTAGTCTCTGTGAACAGTACAACTGGATCATGCTTCGTGTATGCCCTCTGCACTACTCCCCAGATTATGCGCTTACAAATTCACGTCCTCATAAATTTTGTCCCAAATCTAGAAATCGTGTATTTTGACGTAATTGTTACAAGTGCATAACACACTGATTATACCAAGTTCATCTCGCACATGAGGAATCCAACAGATTTCGCTAAAATACGTGATTTTTAGATTTGGGGCAAAATTCATGAGAACGTGAATACGTAAGCGCATAATCTGGGGAGTAATGCAGAGGGCATACACGAAACATGATCCAATTGCACTGTTCACAGAGACTCTAATTTATGAGAATGCGCAGGCAGGTTTGTCAGTAGATGGGCGAAGAATGCAGGCAAACTTGCGAGTTTTGACTTAGCTAGATCCTGCTAACTGTAACTTTACAGTAAAACCATTTCATGCAAAATAAGTAAGGTTTCGTAAAAAGTAGGTCCTAAAACCTTTGTGAGCCAAGTTAGGTCGAATCAAGATCATTAATGTTTCATCCAAAACCTGCGGCGAGCTTAAGAGCGAGGAACGAGAAAAAATCAAATGTTCTAGTTTTCTCAGAAAGTCTGCCCATAGGGGTTATCCGACCTGCTGATCATGAAAGTCATATCTGATTTGCAAGATAGCTTCTTACTGTAGGGCTATGGTAGGTTTTAGGTGCATGGATGTCTTTAAAGTTTGCTAGCCATTTACTCCCTCACAACAAAGGACTTTCTGCAGGACACGTGAAAGCAACATACATTACAGATATCCCTGCCCCTATGCCTTGGTCATAAATACCCTGAGCTGGACTCAGAACAAATCGATCAAAATTCAAACTCTTTACCATACTCCAACAGTACCCATACAAAGTGTCATCAGCAGTAAGTCAACGGCAGTGTTGTTATCAGCACGCTGAATAATCTAACTAAACAAAAATATGCAGAACTGAGCGAAAATTTACTGCCTACAGTACAGTACATCGACAGGTTGTGGCACTTCTACATATCTATCTTATGATGCGCCTCATCGAGTTAAATCGAGCGGTGTCCTTGGATTCAGAATTCGCCCATTTTGGAGCGACATATGGCGATGCGACGCAAATTCTGACGCACTCTAGTGATGTGCGGGCCACTCCGCTGCTTTCTAGTAGACTGCGTCGCACTTCGGCGCACTGCTGCGCACTCTGGCAGAGTGCGCAACAGTCCGGCGACTTTTCTGACGACTTATGAGCGGTAATGTACCAACAGGGTTTCCCAAAAGTAAGTACACACTTTTCAATCGTCAATATCTCTCTTCCCAATGGGTCTTTTTTTGCCATTCAAGTACCATTCTGTAGAGGGGGCTTCAACTTAGATTTACAGTATCGGTCGAAACACCGATCGCTCTTCATTATAGGATTACGCCAAGAACTTCCAGCATGTGGAACCATTGTGAAATATGCCATTTGACAAAATTTTCTGCAAAAAATCTGAAAAATTGTCTACTAGGGTTTTTGCGCACGCTGATTTCGCCACACAACTTTTACGAGTGTTTTCAGATTTTTTGACGGTGTAATCACATTTCTGACAAGTACTGGGAATTCGGTCATTACGGCTCACCTGGGACTTGAGGAAGAAGCATGACAGTAAAATGGGAATTTCAAATTCGAAATCAGCGGCTCCCACTGCCGTAGTAGTACTGTACGTAGATAGTATAAGAATTTTTTGGCTTGTTTGGTTTTGTTTCGAGGCAGAATATGGCCTCTAATGGGCAAAAATCCTTGTCGAAGTTCGTACCGTAATCCTATAGTAATGAAGAATGATCGGTGATTCGCTCGATACTTCAAATCTAATTGAAGGCCTTCTCTACAGAATGGTACTTAAGTGGAAGAAAAAGACACAATGGGAAGAGAGATATTGACAATTGAAAAGTGTGTACTTACTTCTGGGACACCCTGTAATAAGAGCGGAGCACTTTACCGCATGAGCTCGGTGGTGTCAACAAAAAGTTTTAGCAGAGCTGTTTTCAATTCAATTAGTGTAATGACTGGGTGGTTCTCTTACAAGAATAAAAGCTGTAAGGCATTATATGCTTTATCAAATCACTATACCCCAATTCTGGTACCATTTCAAGCGTTAGCTATGTGACGATATGTCTTTTATTTCAATACGTTCAGGAGGAGGAGAAACTCCAAGAAATTTGTCTGGAAGAATTGCGGCTGCGACATGGTGGCTGTTCGGATTTATTATCGTTGCTTCGTACAGCGCAAATCTGTCAGCATTCTTAACGGTAGCCCGAATCGAACAGTCCGTACGGTTGGTACTTATAGCCTTATAAACAATCCGTACGGTTGGTACTTATAGCCTAGGGTCAGTAAGTATGAAAAGTTCGATTATCAGGTACAGAATACATCATTAAGTAAGGGTAATGGAGATATTCCAATACTGGAGGATTTTTCTTGCATCGCTTATGAACATATGAGTGCAAAGTTCACTAACGCAGTTCCGTATATATCTTTCTTAACTTTGTTTGACATGCATTCACGATGAACGAAATGAAATGCCGGGAACCCAAAAACAAAAATTGCCTTTCACGCCTTTACTTGAACGAGTATCGTCAACTCGTTGAACGCCCGAACTCGATATCACGGCGCCACGGGTAAAACGCTTGCCCCAGTGTTAATCCGTTGTAGTCGTGCTCTCGCAACATTTTATCCATGCCGGTGGTCCGCAGCGTTTGAGCTTTCTTGCGATCAACGATACTTAAAACAAATTGATGATACTTGATAAAGGTCAATACAATTGCAAGTTATGTGCATTTTTACCGGAAATAATGCCCAGATATTAAGCATTCGAAAACATGACTAGGTTTATAGACCCAGAATAACGTACCGACTAGATTTCTTTGCTAATTGTTTACATACTTTGATGTTGGCGATGGACGTCCCCATAAACCTGACATGTGCTTGGTATTGCCTTGCATGCGAGGGTGACTGAACAACTAAGACCACGAAAAAGTTAAATAATACCCTTGGCTTTTTGACAAAATTATCCTGAAAAATGGACAATTGCACACGTCGGCAAGAAATCTGCCCTTATTGTGAGTTAAGAAGTGCCAAAAATAAAATTGCTCGGCATATTTTCAACAGGCTAGCACATATGCACTTCAACTAAAGCAAAACTGAATTCAAATCAAAACTTAACCCGAACCATTTATGAAAGATAAATCGAAATGTAATATCATCATCATTTCACTTATCCTGTATTCAAAACTACGTTCCGAACTAATGACGTAAAGTTGGAACATTCAAACGGTTTTCTTAGTTCAGCGCGGAAAATGGCAACAAGAAATGAAAAATGTCAAGTTCTCATTGTTTTTTTCGGTGTATAGATCAAACACCGTTTGACATTGGTAAACATCAAAAGAGTTAGTGACTGCAGCCATGTCAACTATGTTAAAATCTATGACCTGGGAAGTAGTACACCTCATTCATCTCAGTTGACCTGAGATTAATCATTCGGAAGAACTTTTAGATTCAACCCAAGACCACTCACATGCCCGTGCTTCAAAGGCAGCGTCCGGGCAGATTTGGACATTAGAGGATACTATCATAACCGAGTGCTAGGGTCTCTGGAAGTATCGCACAAGTGCGACTTTTGTGCACCCCCTGTAAAAGGAGAAAATTGGCGCAGGAAATGCTCAGCCTTGAGGACCACGCCCACTCTCTCGCATGGCTCGCCCCCTTGAAAACGAACTCTCCCCAGCCCTTGGCGTGTTTTCACGTGGGAAACACAATCGAACGCATAATGGCTGTCTGTTAATGCTTGCTATCGACAAAGATATCATTAGAAGCATGCGTCCACAGTTCTTACAAAATTGTCTCAAAAAATGGGGTTTTTGAGGAATTCACGCAGTTTGAGTGCTACATTTGAAATCAGCGCCATGAAAAGACCTGAATAAGGCAAAAAATAGAAGTCGCGGTCTGCCTGGACGCCCCCTTCAAGATAGTCAGTTGAACAGTCGGAACACCGCCCGGCTAAATGCCTCGGTCACTTCAAACGTATGCCACTTAGCCGAGGACGGGTTTTAGGGTGAACCGAGGAAGATAAGGTGCAAAAAGGAAAATCTGACATTTCTTAAGTTGCCCGTGAGTAACTTAGGAGACAAGTCAGTTGACGTATTGCTTTCCTGGGGCTTATGGGAGAGGATCAATGAACAACTGATCATTGCGAGAAAAGTAAGGCAACAAAATCTTTTCTTTTTCAAAGCTTACGTTTTTCTTCTATAGACTGCTCATAAACAGGGATTTTTCAATTTGTTTCATTTTATTTATGTTTCAACATTTTCGTTTTTACATGAGATTTTAGTTTTCGTTTTTTTAGTTTAGTTTCTCAAGATTACAAGAATACTAAATTTTTAATTTTCTTTTATCTTTCCATTTGCTAGGTGTATTCCTTGATGGCGATCACCATCGATTTTTATTCAATAACAGCCTCTATCAAAGATTGCTCGGCGATGTAGCAAAAATTCATCGCTGACCGGCCTCGATTCTGGCCTCGCTCGTTGAATAGTAATCACTTAGCCGTTCGTACCAATCCTATTCAGTTGGTTTTTTTTTGAGAGCACAAGATTTCAAGGCTACGAAACGATTTGCATCTTGCGCACTGGACTGCGAACCATTCGCTACTTTCAACGTAGACCCGCTCCAGCCGAGTGCCGCTGAACAGGGGTTTCCTGCGGGCTCATGTTAAAAATTGGTCGTCAAAATCGACGAGTGCAAAAAAAAGAGTCAGAAAATGAAAATCTTTGAAGTACCCAGGAGCTTTCTCTACAACTAACATTTACTAATGCCTCTGAATAAAGCAAAGTGGAAATCAAGAGTACTCGTTTTCCGATCAGGGCCCGGCACAGATCGTCTGGGAGCAGGCTGGACTTCGTATTTGAAGCAAAAAGCAAAGGGGATATCGTTTTTGACGAGTCGGAAACGAGCGCCAAGAATAAGCGCCATTTAGTCGACCACAAGCTTTTCGGACAGGTTATCACACGATTGACATGCTCTATCGTGCATGGCGAGAAGTGCGCGCGATTTGAAAGCAAGGCTTAAATAGACAAATTGCTTGTTTATTTACAGCGCACACAGAAGCTTATGACACCAAAATTGAACTGTATGTAAAAAATTATTTGCGAAAGGATTATGTAAAAAGATTTGAAAACGTATTTAAAGTAATACCTTTTCCAAAATTAGATCTTGTTAAATATCGCGCTCTAATGCCAAAGTCTTGTGTATTCGTAGTGTTCAGCTCCAATTTGGATTTTCACTCTTACCTTACGTCTTTTCTTTCAGACTAGTAAATCTTTCTTGTTTTCTTCTTCTCCCAAGCAGAGGTCAAAGAGGACTTCGTAAAACTTCCGAAAGTCAGAGACTCGTGTCGAGCCCTGTTTCCGATTCCTCTTCTGCCAATAAGTCAAGATGGTCATCCACATAGGCGGTCTGGTGGAAGCCATCGCTGTGCTAACTATAAGAGCTAGTCTGCTAAATAACTTCGCTTTGGAAATATTAGGTTGTTGCAAAATTATTGTCCGTTTTTCTCGGCCTATACTCCAAACAACTTTTTTCCATCAAACTTTCTTTTACGATATAGAATCCGCATATCATTGGAAAGCTCTCTTCATGTACTTTCAAATGGTGTTGGAGTTAAGCTGCTATCCTCATCTGTGAGAATTTCACCAGCATTTTGCACATCCGCACTCAAAATCAAAATCTCATAGCTTTCATTCTTGACCACAATTCAGGAGCAAATGAACGAATTCTTCTGAAAACATAGCAATTGTATTGAATGAAAATTGTTTACCTACTGTATGCTTACGTAGATTTTTGGAGATATCTGAACTGAGAAATTGACGCCTCGAAATAAATACTCGCTGCTGGCATTCTATGGGTCAGAAATTTCTCATAAGGCAATCGCCAAAGCTTCGCAAACTTCTGTAAGCTTGAGATAAGCACACCTTAACTACAATATCTTAAGAGAAACTTAGCTATTCAGTGCGCGAAGAATTCCAAATTTTCATAATTTGGCACTCGCAACCTAGAACAAATAGGCTCAAAAAAGTAAACATTTTTGAATTTTTACCTTTTCTTTTCGCACAACTCCTTCTTTAGAGTCTTTTCTACATACACGTAAACTCATGGCCTGCGGCTACAAAGTATGCTGAATGCCAGCCATACGAACAAAACTTGGAGGGAGTTGTAAACTCTCAAAGACGAGGTTTTCAAAAGAAGGAATTCAGGTTTACTGGCATGGTTTTCTTCCCGTTTGCGATATCAGTACGGGCAGTTGCGCGCTGAGTTACGAAAGTTTTGCTGTTTCTGATGGTCTTGACTGCATTCAAAGGTAATGAAACTGAACGAAATTATAGCCTCCAAAGTGAAAATTTGCAAAACGGACATTATTTTTGCAACAACCTGATACTTAAATCAGGAAACAGTAAAACACTAATTGGGAGGGGGGGGGGGGGTAAGAAACAAAGTGCGGAAAACTTGAAATTGCAGAATTTACTAGTAGTACTAGATTTTAGAGTATTTAGTAAGAAAGTCTGATATTGTGAATGAGCTTTTGCATAGACGTAGGGAAAATTTTCCGTTGCTTTGCGAAGCCTGCCTAGCTAAGTGTGCACCGAAAAAAATTTTCGTGCTATTCCAGGTGGAAGAGCCTTGCGAGAGGATTTTCGAGTTGGTGAGGGAATTTTGAGAAAACTAGAGTTTTTGCGATACTTCGCATACTAAAGTCAGGCCGCCAGATCCAGATTGGCCTATCCTGTTCAGTGCAAGCAAAACACTATGCGCTAGCTGGCACTCAGTAATGTACCCTGTGACGACCATGAAGCAATTTGCTTTCATTTCCATAACTCGTAAATTAGCATCAGGGCTTGGCACGGGTGACTTATAAGCAAGTGGATATCGTTTTTGGGACAAAAAGCAAAGGGGTTTCGTTTTTGTGGCCGAAAAGACACGAATTTTCGAAGTGGTTTTTTTTGGTCGACGTTTCGTTCTTTGGAGATTTTTTAGGGACTATGGTCTGGGGTCAAGGACTTCGCAAAATTGACAAAAGTCAAGGGGAACTTCGTTTTTTGCATTTTCAGCTAGCCACCTCATGCCGAGCCCTGTTTGTCATTTCTTCAGCTGTGCTGAATTTTTTATATTCACACTCTTGCAATACTTATTTCGGAGGAATACTTTGGCACCATCGGCTTACGAGGGTGTATGTAAGAGGCGCGATTTATATCGTCAGCTGGACACCAAATAGCACATAACAAG